TCCACTGCCATGTTTACAGACTGATACTTGATCTCATTGCTGCTGTTCCTCAGCACACTGAGGAACAGCAAGGGATGAAATCTTCAATTTTTACAATTCCATTGACTGGTACAGAGTCAATGCAATTGTAAAAATTGAAGATTTCATCCCTTGCCAATGCAGAAGTTTTATTTATATAGATTGGGGTCTACTTTAATTTTGACTCATTTGGGGACTTTATTCAATACACCAAGGGTTTGCCTAAACAGGGACACTCAGGAAAGTTAATCCAAAGTAATTAAAAGAGTGAATTTAAAGTGGATTAGTTAAACCACATTAAACCCCAGTGTGGACTGGGGTTTAATGTGGTTTAACTAATCCACTTTAAATTCATACCTTTAGTTAATTTGGATTAATTTTCCTGAGTGTCTCTGTTTAGACAAGCCCTAAAGCCCCAATCCTGTAAACAATTTATGCACACAAGTATTTGTATGTGATGCACTTAATTAGCCTCGATTCAGGAAAGCACTTAAGCTCTGCTGAAATCAATGGAACTTAAGTGTCAATGGATGGTTTTGCCTGAATTGGGACCAAAAACACCACACACAAAAATGCTACCCTGGTCACTCACATTGACAGAAATTGTGGTTTATTTTTGGATATTCTTAGAAAAAACTTTTTCTGATACCCAGTTTATTTTCTTTTGGCCCTTCTCCACTAAACCTGTGTATAGCGTTGCTCTGTTCTATCCAGTTTCTCCATCTCTTGGTGTGCTGGCCCAACAGCTATGTGGTACACCACATTATGCTGATATGATTCTGTGCTGGTGCACTGTGCGCTACAAAATCAGGTTGGTTTCTTGATATGTTTCAGAGGCAGTCTCACCCATGTCAAATTTTAATTAAGCTAGTCTGGAGTTCATGATTCCTTTTATTCTTCCCAACAGTAGTTCATCAGTCTTTTTTGCTCTTGCTCACTCAGTTTTCCTTGATTCCTTTACATTTTTTCAGAACACATTAAGTTGTGCCTCTTTGTCAAACTTACATGATGCATTTCATCATGTTTGACATAACTGTCAGTATGTCAAGCTATGCATTTTACTGAGAAAGCAGATGTTTGGTTCTCTGCTGGAAGAAGACAGTATGTTGTAGTAGGTAAGTAGTAGGTATTTGGGATGTGTAATTAGTAATAGGAGAAATATACTGAATTGTATCACTTGACATACAGATTCACAAAGAGCTTACATAAACTTCACTAAACCCAAGGATTTTAAAATTACTTAAGACCCATTTGAGTTATGGAGTAAATGTCTATGGCCAAATCCTACTACAATAAGAGGAATAATGCAAGTACTTTTTCACATAAGAAGGTTCAGGTGGAGAATGAAAAAGAACAAAACTTGTAATTAATTATTCTCCTTATGATTGGTAAATATTTTTAAATAATGTACAAAAGCAGAACTTAAGAATGATTGAGCAAATAGTTACAGAAACTTCAAGCTGACAATGGTGTCAAGCAGATCCTACTGGAAGAAAATACATCAAGTTTAAAACCAATATAACTTTATTCTTATTGGCTGTGTACAGAATACATTTCATTGTAGGGTCTAGAAATGACAGAAGTACTTCACGAATATTTCCCAGTTTCTCTAGGGGATAGAGGAGTGCAGTTTTATTTGACTCTGGGAGAATCTGCAGTCATAAAAGCTTCCTTGAGATTTTTTTCCTCAGATTACAAAATTCCCTGGATTACAGATCACATATGAAATCCAAACAAAATGATGTAACAATTTGAAATACAACTAACGTGTGTATATAAATACACACAATACAACTAATATTGTATGCATGTATTTGTATATGCACACAATCATGCAAGCATATACTTCAATAAAAATGCTTTGTATATAATTCACATATATATATTAAAAATCCATGAGAATTTTTATATTGTTTGCATGAGTTAACTAAGAGCAAAAGTCAAGACATTTTGCTTTATATTTTATTTAATTGGCAAATCTATATCATACTTTCTCAAACTATATGAAATCATCCTAACTAGATCATATGCATGTAATGGCTTTATTCTACAGCTGATAATGAAGCTGGGCTACCCTCTTTACTCCAAAGGACCAGAAACCTAAATGCTAGCAAGCAACATATCCATTTTTTGCTATGTATACTGCTTAAACATGAGACATTTGTATAAAACATAGCCAGATTACAGACCAGACTAGTTAAATTAAGAACCCTACTGAAAACATAAACAGTCTTCATAATTGCCAAGTAAAATTTAAAAAATATTTATAACCTCAGAAATATTTCAGTCAACACCTAATATAAGAAACATTATTTTCTTCACCCATATGAAGTTTACACACCTCTACTTTTAAGTCTGCAGTAGGATGTATTGTGAACATAAACCAAGTAGATTGACCTTAACCCTCCATAATCTTGAAAATATGGAAATCAGTAATATTTGGAATTTATTTTTCTCTTTATTGGTGCACAAGTAGAAGGGATAAATTTCTTTACAATGTTTTAATTTAGGGGTGGAACCTCCATTCTTGCTTAAAATGGCGTTCTAAATGTTATGATTAGCCTAACAATTGATTGCCAATGAAACAAGAATAACTACTTTTGGCAGATTCTGCTGTTATTTTCCTGCTGGCTTTTGTTCCAGCTTTTATCTTCCATGGGAAAATTTTCATATTGAGAATACTGAGAGGGCCCAAATCTTTTAAGACATCCCCTAAGCACACACACAATTAGATATCCTATGCTCATATAATTATTCCAGCAGTTATTTAGACAACTCGCAATTGCCTGATTTGAGGACTCAGTGGGAATATGTGCCAAAGGCAGGTGCACAATTCCCTTTTTTAAACAGCAGCACAAATCTGCAGGCTTATAAAGAAAAGGTCTTGATACTTTCAATACGAATTTTACCTAATGAGCCCCGTCTATACACCCATATCTTCAACACATAATATGCTATATAACTCTTCACATTGCCATTCCATCTCCCAAACACATGCTACTTTTGCACATGTTCTTACCTAAAATGCACTTTATTGCAAAAGCAGAAAATAGGAACTTCCATATATTTATAGTGGACAGGTCACTGTGATATACACAGGCTGACTGTAGATGGCTGTACTATTTCTAAATTAAATGCTATGCCCTGTGTCGAACAAAACTGTATTTTCATCACTGAGCTGTTCAAGTTATTCAAAACATGGTATTAACAGAAAAAAATTATATGCTTGACTGCTTGGCATTTTTAATATCAAGATCTGCTCTAACATAAAATAAATGTAAGGAGAGACAAACAGAAAATTTTTATTGCAAACAAAAAATGAAAGTATGTGTTTGAAATTAATGAATATATGGACATGCAAGCAAATTCTCCTGTCTTGTTTTTTGTCCTGAGCTTTTTAATTTTAAATCTACCAACAATTTAACTTTAAACGACTCTTTCTACTTTAAACAATCTGATGTAGCAAAAAATGTAAATGTATGGCTGTAAAACACTATCATCAGCAGGCCGGAACCTACTTTGGTCTCTCTTTTCTTAATCAAACATCTGGGAATCAAAAACATCTGTAGACTGACATGGAGTTAAGATTTCCTCTCTAAGTGTCTTTGGCAAAACCACATAGATAGGCTGATTATCTTACCCTGAAATCACCCAAAAGGCAAGTCCTGGGAATCAAGAGAATTATAAGAAATATCTTCAGAGATTAGATACCATACATTCATCATGCAACTGTTATTAAACTTAAAAAGCTTTATTCCTGTTTAATTTCTAGGTGTATCTTGGATTGATCATCTTTTTTCCTGTTACCTTGAAGTATGTTTTAATAGTGAAACATGCCAGTTTTTTCCCAAGACTCAGTTTCAAATAATATTTCTGCTTATAGCTACATCTATACTGTAGTATGTCTATAGTTTCCCCTTCAGTCTTGTACTGGTGTCTCCAAAGAAAAGCCTGGATACCTACTGCACTGTCACACATAATGAGAAACTGCAAAATGGTCACAAGGAGCAACCTAAGTTACAAGGCGTTTCACAACACCTTCAAACGCTTCCATAAACGCACCCCTTGCATGCTGTTTTTGCAAGAAAAATGAACTCTTCAATACTTGGGACTCCTCTGTCCACGTCCCATCATGGGTTTTAATGAAAGGCTGATGCCAAGCAAGCGGCACGTTTACCGGGTTTTCCAAGCCTTAAGGAAGAGATCTTTGTGACCGATCTCAATGGCGTGCCAGCGATCCAGGTGTGCCCTGGGCAGCGAGGCGCTTGTCCCAGCGAGCTGCTGCCGGGACGCAGGGCCGTGCAGTGACCCCGGGGCCGGGACCCAGCTCCGGCCGCCCCGAGCTCCAGCCGAGCGCTTCACTCCTTCCACCAGCACGTCTCCCAACCCGGCCAGCCGCCCCCAAGGAGCGATGTTACGGACCCACTTTAAATCACCTTCATTTTAAGCCCCTTCCGCCCATCCCTCACTGCGTGACCAGCAACTGCACTCTACGCACGCTTTATGTAAACACAAACAGATCGAGCTTCCTCAAGAGGCCGAAAGGCCCCGAAGAGACGCAAACCCTCCCGATCCGACCAACCCCGCCGCCCTCCTGCTGCTGCCCGCCGCGGTGGCGAGAAGCGGGCGCCGGCCAAGCCGCGAGGGCAGCCCCGTGCTCGCCCTTCCCCTTCCAGCAGCGCCCCGCCGCCCCGGCGGGCACAGGCAGCGGGGAGCGGGCCCCGGGAGCGCGGAGCAGGAACAAGGAGCAGGCGCCGGGCGGCCCCGGGCCCGGGCGCCTGCGCGGCGGGAGCGGGGCGGTGCCACCGCGCGTCCCCGCGGGCGGGCAGGGAGCCCTTCCCCTTCCCTTCCGCGGGTCTCCCCCACCGCCTCCCCCTGCCCCGCGTCCCTCGCAGGGCGTCGGGCCGGCACGGGGGTCTGTGCGCCGCGCCGAGCCGCAGAGAGGGAGGGCGGGAGGGGAGGAAGGAGGGAGGCGGGGAGGGAAAGAGAGAGAGAGAGAGGCTGAGCCAGACCTTCATGCCACTGCAGGCAGCAGCAGCAGCAGGTAAAACCAGCCCCAGAGCATCTGCTCCCCTTCACCCGCTTGCCCCCCTCCCCGCCGGCCGCCCCGCAGCCGCAGTGCGCCGCCCCTCGCCCCGGCCCCTGCCGAGCCCCTCTCCCGGCCGGCCGTGGCGGCGGCGGGGCCGG